GCGCAGGGCGCATTACAAGCTCGATGCCTCAGCACCAGCGTTGATCCTGGCCGATGATGCCTCCCAGCATTCGGATAGTCGCTTTGCGGAGCTGCGGAAGGTTTGGGAGCAGGAAAACCATTGCACATTACTCGGCTGCGACAAAGGCCATGCAGTTCAAATCCCTGGGGGCTTCGGTGCCGCAGGAGCTCCCAATGATCAATGGCACCAAGGTTGGCGGCTCCTTCGACGCGCATGGCTCCGCAAGGCCGTTGCGGGAGCGCGGAACCCAGCCTACGGCCGCAAACTGGGGGAGCTCCAATTCGACCTGCGCGGGGAGCCGAACCTTCATTGCCCCCTGATGACCTCGCTCCATGCCGATGTTTATGCCCTCCAGGCACTGGGCCGCCATCGAGAAGGCAATGTCATCATGTCGGCCTGGTTGCGCTTGGGTTACATCGATGTCAAGGAGCTGGCAGCTCTGAAGTTCGAAGGCGACCAGGACCGTTTGGAGGAGGTTTTGCGGCAGGTCAAGGGGTCCATGGAGAGTCTGATCAATTTGGATGAACTCCCAGACCTCCAGCTGGAGACTGCGGCTGCGGATTTGGATGCAGCAGTGCTGGCGCAAGCGCTGGTCGGAACCCGGCACACATGGTGGCACCACACCACGGAGGAGACCTGCGTCCCTTTGCCTTCGTGGGCCAACAAACCTTTGGAGCTGTTGATCCAAAAGTGGGTCAAAGAATGGCAGGCTTGGGAAACTGAAGTCCAGCAGCGCCCCGGCCAGGCCCTCACCGCAGGCCGGCAGCGGAAGTACAATGAGTGGCTAGCCAACCCGGAGCGCCACATCATCATGGATTTGAACAAGCAGCAGGAGGCCGTGGCTCCTTCATCTCAAAACCCGCAGCATGTTGCGCTTTGCATCCATATGGCTAGGGAGCCGGAGAAGCTGTCCATCAAAGTTCAGGATACTTACCGCTTGCTGTTCGTCCGCCAATACCTGCACGGGGAGGTGTCGCCGAGCACAAACACCTTAACACCTGAGGTGTGCCATCCTGTTCCAGCAAGTGCCGAGCAGGTGGTGGTGGATGTCGCCGAAGCAGCAGCAGCAGAAGCATGTGACTTGCCGGAACTACAACCTGTTGTGGAG